CATTCTATTTCCAGTCTATATGGAAAAGGCAATTGAGGAGATTAATGCTTTTCCTGTACTGGCCCTGGTCCTTCCCCAGTTTTTGATAACTGCACCCAATGTCAGAACAGGCAGGCCTCACACACCACACTTACTTCCTGCTTCTGTAATCTGCCATGTGTGCCTTCTACAAACAAACAGGTATCTAACACTCACCAGTCATCTTTTTTTTTTCCTCTTATTTATTTTATTAAAGATTGCAAACATACATGACAAAAAGAAAAGATACTAAATAAAAATTTCAAATACACATATATACGACAGCAAAAAATAAACAAAACTTTATGCAACACAGACTGATAATCCAAATACATTATTAGTTTGATATGATCTTCAAACATTATATGTTCTTTCTCATTTTCTTTTCGACTATTATTTTTGAAATAATGTATTTACAAATAAAACAAAGTTACATATTATAGTTGAGAAACTGTCCTAAAAATTTTATGATTTATAAACTCCTTGGTTTTATTAATTTGATAAATATCATATGCTTGTTGATTGTATCACATTTTCTCACAAAACTTCCCACAAAAAAGAAATATACTTATATTTGCAATCCAAAAGCAACTAAAAGTTCACATTTTTAAGATCAGATTTTTCTGTTTCTATTTTATTATATCCCATACTTATTTTTATTATATTTTTATAAGCATAATGATAGAATTTAACACCAATACATATGTAATATTCTTCCCAAACAAATGACTGTGAATTAAATCAAACATCTAATTTAGAGAAATCATAAGGTTGCCAGAGAAACTATCGATATGCCAAATATGCAAAATCCTACCACATTCATGACCATGTTTCTCATTTAATAGTGCACACAGGAAGGGGTGAAGGGAGGGCAGGGACAAGGGGAAAAAATGAGAGCCAAGACCTGTCATGTAGAGGTGCAAGATCCCAACAATGAATGTAACTGTACTGTATCCCTAAAATGTACCAATAAACTCAATTAAAAAAAATAGTGCACACAAATGTGTAAAAACATACCCCCCACACATATACCCAATGCATATTTTCTACAATACAATATATACTTTGGTATAATAAAACAGTGCAGTGATGTGTGGAATGTTTGTGATTTGTATGACTTGAGAAAAACAAATATATTTGAGGCAGTTGGAGAATTTGTAATATGTACCAAATACTAAATGATATTAATGATTTATTATCTATTTAAGTATAGTTATGATAAAATTTACTTAAAAATTAATATCCGTTATCAGTAGAAAATAGGTACAAAGATATATTGATAACAAAATTTCCAACCAAACAAGCTGTAGTGACAGAAAGGAAATTTGCAGAAGGCAGAGATGAGAGAGGAGAATGACGGATGGACCTTAACACTTTTCTTACTACTCATATATACAGATTTCATAAATTCTCAAATAAAAAAGCAAAATGAGAACCAAAATAACTCATCAATTTGGTAGACCAACATATAAAGACAGAGATTAATGTGCTGATAAATTTTAAAAATATGAAATGTAAAGCCTGAGATTTTAGCTCAGTAGTGCTGCGCCTGCCTAGCCAGAGCAATGTGCTGAGTTTAATCCCCAGCACCAGGAAAAGAAAAAGAAAAAAAGGAGCATGTGTGCTTTCTAACATACTCAATAGATTGAAAATGAATTATTTGTTATCTCTTCCTCTTGAATTGTTCCCTTCACAAGGGTGTAGTGGCCTTCGTCTCTTTCAATAAGTTTAGGTTTGAAATTTACTTTGTGAATAAGATTGCTACCCTTGCTTTTTTCTGGGCTCCTGTTGCATGAAGAAGTTTTCCATCCTTTCACTTTCAGTCTATGGGCTTCTTTTTGCACTAGGTGTGTCTTGTATACAACATAGTGTTGGATTTTGCTTCTTAATCCATTCTGCCAGTCTATTTCTCTTGATTGGTGAATTGAGGCCATTGATATTGATGGTTATAACTGATATGTACTAACTTATTATTGTCATGTTTTTTTGCCTTCTCCTTTTAGTTTCTTACCTTGCCTATTTGATTTGCTCTGTTAGGCCTCATTGTGTTGTTACCTTCATTGTCTTTTTCTAGGATATTGTTTAGAATTCCTTGTAGTGCTGGTTTGGTATTTATGAAGTTTCTCAGGTGTTGTCATGGAAGTATTTTATTTCCCCACTCATTTTGAAAGAAAATTTTGCAGGATTCATCAGTCTAGGTTGGAGGTTGTTTTCTTTTAGTACTTGAAATGTCTCATTCCAAGCTCTCCTTAACCTAAGCATTTGTGTTGAAAAGTCTGCTGTGATTCTGATGGGCTTTCCTTTGCATGTGATTTGTTTCTTATCTCTTACTGCTTATAGTATTTTGTTGTTCTGTTGGGTTTCTGGGATCTTGATTATTATATGTCTAGGTGTAGATTTTTTTTGATAACAGCTAGTTGGAGTCCTATATGCCTCACTTATCTGTATGTCAAATTGTTCCCCTCTGTTTGGGACGTTTTCTATCATTAATTCTGTGGACAACTTTTTAAGTCATTTGCATTTTCTCCTGCTACTTCTTGGATTCCTATCTGTCGAGAGCCGCGATGTCAGGATCCTGCCAGCAGGTCCTAAACCTGAAAGGACGAGGACAGAGAGACGGGAGGCACCTTTCTTCTCAAGTTCCTTGCTTTCTTTTTTACAGAACCTCTTCCTTTTATACTCTCCAGCTGCATGGGAGCGAGGGCTGTACGGGAGCGAGAGTACGGCCCACACATTCCAGAGGGAAACAGTAACAACCATTATGGGTTACATCTGCTAGGCAATAGATCAGACCACCAGCTGAACTAGCCCGTTGCTATAGCGACGGCACGTCCACACTGCTCGGGTGAATCATAGGTCAACATGGCTGCGCTCATGTCGTGCTGGTTTACAATGCTCTCCATACCTATCAGTTTTATGTTATTCTTCTTTGCATCAACTAAGAGTTGTTGGGTCAATTTCTCATGATTCCCTACTGTTTTTAAGAGACCTCTCTTTTCACGGTCACTGACTGCAGTTTTATCTTCTATATCTGAGATTTTATCTTTGGACTTTTTATCCGTTGCAAACACTCTCAATGGAGTTTTTGATCTCCTGGATATCTGTTCGAATCTGCCCTGTGGATTCCATTTCTTTCTTATATTGGGCATTTATTGTTTCCAATTCTTTCTTATGCTGGGCATTCATGGCTTCTATCGTGGTCCTGAGCTCATCTATTTTCCTCTCAGTTTCTGTTCTAGAGTCTCGAATTATAACTTTCATTTTGCTTGTCATCTCTATGATTATCTGGGAAATTACTTCTGTTTTAAATTTCTCTAGAGCCTGATTGATCAGTTTTGTTACTTCCTGTGCTTTGAGTTCAGGGTGTCCTGATGATTCACCATCAGACTTTTCATCCTCATTTGCCCCACTGTTTGCCATTGGTGAACTGGAAGTCTGTCCCTGTATCTTGCTTAAGCATTTTCTCGTTTTTACTATTGTTGTTGGGTTGTCCTTAGTTTAACCTTTAGGTTATTACTCAAATATTCCTGATATAGTTGGGCTTCAGCCCATGGATCTCTAATGACTCACAGACATTCTTCATAGTACCAAAGAAAACAGCTCATTGAATCAATCACAAGTATCCTAATTGATACAATCAGCACCACAGTATGATCAAGCACACCTTGCAAATTGACCACTTGTGGTAGTCATCAGTCTAGCACCTTCAAACCATGTGAATTAAATTAAAATCAAGAAGAAATCCAAAATATGTTTGCAGTGAATAAACTTTTCAATAAGGATATTTACCATTTAGGATGGGGGCTTAAGACAGAGTTAGGACAAGAGGAATAGAAAAGTAAAAGAATTAGAGAAGGTTTAACATGAAGCCAGAAGACGTAGAATGAGCACACAATTGTCAGTAAACTGTTAAATTCAAAAGGGATAAACAGAATAGAAGTATAATTAACCCTTGAGTGAGGTAGAATGACATAAAAGAACATAAAGAAAAGAAAAAAAAATAAAAGAAATCTGAGGACAGGAGCAGAAACAAAAAGGGAGATGAGGGATAATACAGCAAGAGACTGAGTTGGAGAAAGAGGACAGAAAAAATTTGCAGAGTGGAATGAAGAAAAGAAAGGAAACAAATGAGTTTGAACGGCCTCTTTCAGACTGTATCACTGCTGTCATAATATACAACATGCACAGCCATGTGCAGAGCCGAGTCCCCTGATCTCAGCCAGCTGGTGGCAGAACCCCACGACGCAGACTGACCTCGGGCTGCAAGGCCCAGACTGAGTTCCCCGACCTCCTGCATGGCTGAACTCCACTCAGTTCTACTACAGGTTTCCCCCACCCCTTCTTTAAAGATGTTCAAAGTTGGGAGCGCCAGAAAATACCCTTTCTGACCACCTCTGCCTCTGCGGAGTAGGTCTAAAGACTGGCACAATCAGGTCTGAAAGCGCAACGGGGAGGGTTGGGGGGAAGAGGAGCGCCCGCTCGCCTACCTTTCTGGCGCTGAAGATGGCGGCAGTGGCGCCGGCAGAGGAGGGCGTGGCCAAGCAGGCTCTCTGGCGCTAGGGATCTCACCACTCATCTTTATTTCAGTGTCTCCGGTCATTTTGTTGGCTAAATGACGTTCGTTAGGAGGCCTCATAATAAAGGTCTTTTTTTGAAATATTTCCTGAATATCTTCAAAATAGTTTTTCTGAAGCCTTTCCTTCGAGGTCAGTTTGTTTAGACATAAAACCTTTGGTTCACATATTATTTTCTCTCTTGGCATAAACCATGGCCATTTTATTAGTAGTACAAGTTTGCAATACATAATAAATACATTTATCATGGCGAAATGGTACATGTGCATATTGCATCTTGATCTTTTTTAACCACTGCTGTGTTTTAAAAGTAATTTACTTTTTTCTCTAAGAAATTTTTTCTAAATATCCAAAGGATTTTCTTTAAATTTCAAAAAATTTTATAAATATATGTCTCAGCGAAGCCTTTTCTGAGTTTTCCTCAGGTAGACAATGTTTGATTTCAAGATGAAATTTTGAAGTTTCCTGTTTAAGGTAAGTTTTCTTGAATTGGTTTTTAGCATTTGCTCTTTTCCATTGATTGGTTTTCTTTTTCAGGAACTTCTATTATACATATATTTCAACTTTGTTGCCTACCTTCTACGTACAATTTTCTCTCATATCTTATCTCTTTATTTCTTTTTATTTTTAAATCTTCCCCGTTTTAATCTCCTTTTTAAAATGAATACATGGTGCTTGAGTTGTAGTGCAGTCGTAAAGCACATGTCCTGGGTTCGATCTCTTGCACAATAAAAATACATATGTCTTTGTTTGATCTTATATTCCATGTAGTTTAATTTTAGTTTCTGAAATGATTTTTTTAAATATCTTATTCTTTTCTGAGGTAATCCATTAACAATATTTCAAATATTCCTATTTTCAAACACCCCATTTTTCCCCACCCCGTGTTGTTTTTCATAGATTTTAGCCCTTCCTAGCCTTATTTTGGCTTGTTTTAAAATATTAGATTACAATTTTCATCTTTTTCAGCATGTCCTCCTATGCTTTCACTGTCTAAAAAATGTTATTCTACTCTTTTTAATACTTTTTTTTTCTGATAAGAATATTGTAAGAATTTTGACCATGGTCTTTTTTTCTGTTGCTCATGTTTAAGTAAAATAAAATTGCCTTGTATTTTTCCAAAGAATAGATGGCCACAGATAGCTTTTTCTGGCTTCACCTTTTAGACTTCACTGTTTTGTTGCTGTGTGATAAGAAATATGTCCTTCATGCTTTCTAAAACATATTCCTGTGTACGCTCATTCCTCTTCATTTCCTCTTCCTTTGTCCATTTGTTCCTTTTTGTTCATTTTGACTCCCAGCACATTTTCCTCGTAGGCTCAGTAGGAGAAGCACAGGTAGAAGAGAAGGTGTGCAGCCAGAAAGCCAAAGCCAACCCTGCTCCCTGTTTGGGAACCACTGCCACCCTCCCTGGAGAGCCTGCCCCCTTCCATGGGATCTGGATGGTGCCGTCAGTGTCACCTGATAATACAAAGGGATAATACATTAAGGGGTGATGCAATAAATGAACTTTCCTGCAGTTGAACGACAGTCTTTCTTTTGGGGTTGATGAGGCATGGGTCGCCATTCTCTTAGCCCCCAGATGAAGTCTATTTGCAGTGGGAGAAAAGGGGACTCAGGATGAAAAGAAGCCAGGATGATGACGGAAACCTTGGCATCTGGGTGATGCAGCTGCACCTGCGGACTTGGCCCTACACGAGGCAGTGAATTTGTTTTTCACTTGAGCTCTTGTGAGGTGGATTCTGATGTTGCAGTCCCAAAAATCAGAGTAACACAGTTGTAAACATGAAAATGCATGCACCTAGCCATTTCTCAAATGCTTCTCTAGTAGGGCTTTTTTTCATCTTCAAGAGGATAAAGGCTAGGAAAAAAAACACAGTAAGAAAGGTGAAAGAAATTACTTTGCCTCTGAGCAAGAGAAAAATTTAGCTAAAACATTTTTAGTCTTTTTAAAAAATAGTGCACTAAATAGGTTTAACATGTAGTTTATAAATAAAAGGAAAGGAAGTGATTGGGTTAGTGAGAATAAATAGTACTACATTTTTATGGGCCAGGGCTATTGGGTTTGAGAAAAGTATAGATCACTATGGGCATGGAATAGAGTCTGTCAAAGTCACTGGTGGAATTTTTTTTTCAAAAATGGCCCCCACGACCTGCTTGGGACAACCCTGATAAATGTAAAAGCTCGAGAACCACTACTGTAAATGCATACCTTAACCTTTCAAAAATTTCATGTATTTCATATCTTGCTTGCCTTGTATTTTTCAATGATAAAACTTCAGTGTCCTTTTTCTGTTGTTTCTAAATATATCCATTCATGCCATCACCAGGAGGTTTGACCAATGCTATGATTTTTTTTTTCCAACGGATTACACCTAGTGGTAACAAGAACTTGGAGAAATTGTGCAAGGTCAAATCCAAAATAAAAATTAACAGTGCCCAGTACACCACTGATTAAGGTGATTTATGATAATATCAGAGAAACAGTATCTTTATCTTGAATAAGAAAGTGATCAGAAATCTGACCCAGATAAATAAGTCAGCATTAGCTTTAATTAGCTCCTGATGTGATTCTTTAGATACCAAAGCCACTCGTGTATAAGCGCCACAGATGCCAGACCCTGAGGCTCTGACAGCAGCCTCATCTTCCACATTAGGGTGACTGAAAGGGCCACCGAATGCTCTCTTAGTCCAGAAAAGAACAGGGAGGAGAGGCCCAGGCAGTCCAGAAACTCATCTTGTACCCTCCAGGGACTGCACAAATGAGCTGTGGGGAATCAGCTGGATGTCGGCGCCACTGAGGAGCCATGGGAAGGAAACTGTCAGTGATTCCATTCATGATCTCCCACACGGAGCTCCATGGTTCTTCTGACTGCTGGGAGAGAGGGAGATGGCCAGGAAGGGGCAAGCCCTGGCATCTGATTTGCTCGTGTTGCTCGTGATTCTTTACAAGAAAATGACTTTCTGTCCTTTTCTCCTTAAATCTCTGAAATCAAAGAGGAGCTAGTTCCTGCTCTGGGTGAAGGAGGGGTCCCCAAGGTTGGCTATCATCCCATGTTTTGCTTACTTTATTCCAGAACACTACATTCCCTTCTCCCAGATTTGACCTCCAATGTGCTGAACTTGGCTACTTCCCACGCACCTCTAGAATCTGGCGAAAAGTCAGAACTTGGGTCATACATTAGGAAAATAATTATTTGAATAACCTTCCCTGGTTTTCCCATACATTCAATTCCCAACCACTTCCTAGATGCTGGGGTGATTTGTAGCAAAAGTTTTCATATGCATTTACCTTAATTTGGTCTAGAAAGGGAACATCCTGCTGGGTTCCTTAACATTATAGCAGGAACAGGGAGCAAGTTTAGCCTCACAGAAGCCCTGTGAAGAATGAAGCACTCCTGCTGTGGTCCTCATTCTGCATATCAACAGTGGAGATTCAGTAAAGCTAAGCTAGTAATGGAGGGGCTGGCACTTGGAAGTCCAGTCCTTCAGCTATGACTCAATTCGAGGATGTGTACTCTGATATTTGGGAAGGTTATATCCTTCCCAGGTCATCCCAACTAGGTAAAGACCCTGAAGTTGACTGGCTAACTAGCATTCAGAACCAGAGGCATCTATGTCTGGAGTCATAGTAGGTAGGAGTCTGGGCCTGAGTCGCTGGAGTTGCTCCAGCGCTGCCCCATGGAACATGGAATGGCTCTACTCTGTCTTGTTCCTGAGCTCATAGCCACAAAGTGGGAAATGGATTGCACCTAATAGATCCACCTGATGCTTAGAGTTATCAGAAGTGGAAGGAGAGTCATGCAGAAAGGCACAAGGATGCAGTAAACAGTTGTATAAGAGACCTTAGTGTCAAGCATGGTGGCACACACCTGTGATGCCAGAGCTCTGGGAGGATGAGGCAGGAAGAATATGAGTTCAAGCCCAGCCTGGGCAACTTAGCAAATTAGCAAGACTGTCACAAAAAATAAAAAGAGCTGGGGATGTTGCTCAGTGCGAAGGGCCCGGGTTCGATCCCTAGTCAAGAGTCACAGAGACAAAGACAGAGAGCAAAAACCAAGCTACTTAGGGGCTTAGAAAACGTGATGCTGGAATTGACTGAGTGCAATTCTAGGCCCAAGGGTACTCTAGGATTAAGGGTGTGAGTGCTGCCCGCCCTAAGTAGTCTGAAGGGACAGAAAGACAGGTCCCTTGTTGCTTTTGCTGCCTTCTGCCACCATGAGCTGTTGCCCCTCTACTATTTGCCACCCTGCTTTGGAGCCAGCGGATTATGGATTAAAACCTCTACAAACTGCGAGCCTAAATAAACCTTGCCTCCCTTTAACTTGGGAATCAGGTGTTTTGTCTCAGCAATGAGAGGAAAGTAACCAACACAATCACCAAACCAGTACTAAAAAACATTTTTGAAGGATATCCTAGAAAGGGACAATAAAGCCAACAATGCCAAAAACTAATAGAATAAATACACCAGACAGGGTGAGTAGTTAAGCAGGAAGGACGGGGAAAAAATGAAATCACTAAAAGGAAAATAATTCAGTGACAGGAATAAGTCTCAATAATACCTCCCAATAAAAACTCGGTGTAAATTGTCTCAATTCCCCAATCAAAAGACACAAGTTGGCAAAATGGATCAAGAAACAAAGCCCAATGATATACAGTATACAAGAAACACATTTAATCCACAAAGAAATACACAGATTAAAAAATCAAAGATTGGAAAATAATATTCCATGTAATGGGAACTTGGAAAAAAGGAACAGCTGCCCTATTTTCACACAAAGTGGATTTCAACCCAAAACTGATCAGAAGAGGCGAAGAAAGTCATTACATATTAGGTAAGTGAACAATTCAACAGGAAAAGATAACAATTATAAACATACACCATATGCTCCAAACACCAGCACACACAACTTCATAAAACAAACATACTGGGCATGAAAATCACATAAATATCATCACAGTTATAATGAGGGGACTCAATACCTCTCCATCACAAATAGATCAACGAGACGGAAAAATCAACAAAGAAATGTCAAATTGAAACAAACGTATGAACAAATTGACAACAGATATCTATAGAGTGTTCCACCCAACAACAGAATACACATTTTTCTCAGCAGTACATGAAATTTTCTCCAAAATAGACCACATGCTAGCCAATAATGCATGCTTCAGTAAAAGAATTGAAATTATTCCATGCATATTACCACACGACAGTGCACTGAAACTAGAAATCAATGGCAAAAGAAACCACAGAAATGATGCAAACACACTCTGTTGAATAATCAGTGGGTTACAGAAGAGATCAAGGAAGAAAATAATTTCCATAATTAAACAATAATTCCAGTACAACATACCAGAACCTATGAAACACAGGTAAGCAGTTCAAAGTGTAAGGTTTGTAGCTGTGAATGCCCACATCAGAAAAAAGAGTGAGTTCAAATAAATAACCTAATGATTCAACTCAAGGTCCTAGAAAAGCAAAAGTAACCCAAATCCAAATCTAGTACAAGGAAAGAAATTATAAAGATCAGAATGGAAATCAATGAAATTGAAGCTAAGCAAATAATACAAAGAATCAGTGAACTAAAGAGCTGATTCTTTGAAAGAATGAAGGAAATACAGGAACCCTAGCCAATCTTAGCAAAAAGGGAAAGAAAAGACCCAAATTAGAAATGAAAAAGGAAAAATCACAATGGACCTGGCCAAAATCCAGAAGACTATTAATAATTACTTTGAGAATCTGTACTGTAATAAAATTTAGACTTTAGAGAGAAAAGGATTCCTACATGTATATAAACTACCAAAGCTGAACCAAGAAGAAATAAAAACCCTGAATGACCCAATTATCAGGCAATGAGACTGAAAAAGTAATTAAAAAACAAAAAACTATGTGCCAACGAAGAAAAGCCCAGGTCCCAATGGATTCATTCCCAATTCTACAAGAGCTTTAGGGAAGATCTCACACCAATATTCCTCGAGCTCTTTAATGAAATCCACAGGGAAGGAGTACTCCCAAATTCATCCTTGGAAGCTAGCATTACCCTGATTCCAAAACCAGGAAAGGACCTGTCCAAAAAAGAGAACTACAGGCCAATCTCTTCAATGAACATAGACACAAAAGTCCTCAACAGGATACTGGCAAACAATGCAAAAAATCATCCAAAAGCTCATACATCATGACCAAGTAGTATTTAACCCAGAGATGTAAGGTTAGTTCAACACATGTCGCGAACCAGCGACGCAGAGCACTGTCCCGCAGTGCCTCAAACCTGAAAGAGCAGCGGGGTGGAGATGGGGCAGAGAGAAAGGAAGGACGCCAAGACAAGAGTCTGATCAAGGCGACGTTTATTGCAGGCAGGCATCAGCCTTTTAAAGGAAAAGACCAAACTATTATGGGCTAGGATTACCATAGTAACCCCAATACCTGCTCCTATAGATAACATCAGATCTTTAACATAACAAAATGGAGTTAACAACACCTGACTCGTGTTTCTCCCGCGCAGGGTCAAAACAAGTTTAACACGTGCAGTCCCTTAAAAAGGAACAAATGTTGTCTTTCAAAAAGCCAGTGGGCCATGGCTGGCTTCCCACAAACACACACAAATCAATAAACGTAATACATCACATAAACGGGCAAGGACAAAAATCACATGATCATATCAATAGATGCAGAAAACCTTTGACAAAAATCCAACCTATATTCATGAAAAAACCTTGAAGAAAATAGGTATGGAGGATTTTATCTCAATCTGATAAAAGCCATTTAGGACCAACCAATAACCAATGCCATATTAAATGGGGAGGAACTGGATGATTTCCTTCTAAAATCAAGAACAAGGGGCTGGGAATTTAGCTCAG